GCTTGTGCTGCTTATTGCGACCCGCATGTGCGAGGTGTGGAGATGCATTTGGGTATCATCACCCTCCAGCCCCGTCCACGAGCCCACTTGATCGGAGAGGTGTTGCGGACCCACATGGAAAGGACGATCCTCTTAGGTGGACACAGTTTTTTTTCAGGGGGCATTCCATTTTGCGAGGGAACTCATACCCGAGCGTTTTCCCCCTATTACTCATAATGTTTCTCATGTCTGCACTGTCATATCATCTCTTTTGCATGTTGACCTAATGATTGCTTGGATTTCAGATCACGAACACCAGCCGCTGAATTCCGCTACGGTGAGCAAACACGATCCACCACGCAGTCGACAGTTTCACCGCGCTCGAAAACTCCTGCCCCAACGCAGCGCCAAGAATCCGATCCGAGCATCCCGACGTCTCGAGCTCAAACGCTACAAAGGGTGGGTTTGTCGAGCATATCCGTCGCATCTTGATCTTTACCGCAGTTATTCCAGCAACCTAATGTGACTCAATCTTTGGATGCTTGGGACGGAGCAGCTGCGGTAGGTTCCCGAATGCGGCCCTCATCAACAACCATCGGCTTCGCCACGCCCAATTATATGCCGATCAGTGCATTTCAGTTCAACAAGTGAGTGGTATTATTTGAATTTTGCTCGTTTTGAATTTTTTAATGTTTCCGGTTTTCGCTGCAAGAAGTGGAATAGACCCTGTAAAACGTTTGCATTTTAAAAATCTGGAGATAGGCATGAAAACAAGGCTTAGCAATTCTTGTTCTAATTTTATTTAACAATGCACGAAGTAGAAGCAGCTTTTCTTGTCTGATTTTATTGCAAAGCAAGTGAAATAAAGATTTCAATTAGCCTACCGTACGCACCCTTTCGGGGGTTAGGTACATATACTCCACATCCCTGAAGACGCGGTAGGCGTGGCTGCGCACTCTTTTCAAAGTTGGCGTTGAATGGGATACTACCTCTGAGACAACTGCCATCTTGTCTTGTGCTGGACAAAGACATGATCATAACTTTCTCGAAAGGAAAACACTCCTCCGAAACTACAGCCACCCACATTTTAAAGGAAGTACGCAGCCACGCCCACCGCATTTCAGAGATTTAAAGGTTTATCTTCGCTTTTTGGACTCCAAACGTTAAACTTTTTCCATTTCAATCTTCTGCCAGAATCGTAGGAATACAGCTGTCATTTTCAGGCCCAGTGATTTGATCACGGTGAACCTGATTCGAAAACCGAATGGATTCGGATTCCGCCTGCTTGGTGGCAGCGAGGTGGGTTATCCTTCGAAACCTTTTCTTTCTTCTTTTCTCTTTATTTACGAGATCTGTAGGATTTTAGGCTAATTTTGAACGTTCTATAGGACTTTTTACCTTCAGAAACGTCTTGGAAAAGACTGAAAAAACACAAAAACTGTTTGAAAAAGAATCTCTGACTAGAACCGCCCTGTCAGTCCACACATTTGTGATTTAATGGATTCATGTGAAATCGTGCATAACGGTTTGGTTTAGACGAACACGCTGTTGACTGTTGGTCAGGTGGTGCCAGGAGGTGCAGCAGCTGATGATGGCCGAATGCAAGAGGGCGACGAGATCATCGAGATAGACGGACGCAACGTCGAAGGTGTCAGTCATGTGGAAGCTGTTTCACTTCTGGAGCACGCCGCTCATAGCAGACATGTGAAGCTCGTTGTTCGGCGACCACGAAATGGTTGGTTTCTCAGTCTTCTATTTAGAATGGGCGCTGTTTATCGACGGGGGGGGGCATTTGTATTATAATTGCTTCCCTGTTCCGGTTCCAAATCTCACTCTGGTAAAACTTGTGACTGCTTGTGAAGCTGGAGCAAGATCGTCTAGCCACCATCCTAAAAACTTGTCAACTCGAAAAAAGGGTTACCTAGGTTGTCCGGAAAGTTCTCAGCGTTTTGGGTGTTTCACTTTAAACGATCGTAACTTTTTTAATACTCATCGGATTTAATCGAAATAGGCACCATTCGAATCAGCACACTTTTGCCAATGTGACAGCAGTCGAGAAATCCCATCAAAAAAAATGGGTGGTCGAGAATCCACGAAATCTACGAAGGTCTTTTTTGCCTGGTCCTAATTGATGAAGTATTTTTCAGCAAGGAAGTTCTGAAAATGTTTGAAAAGGTGATAGTCGGTTGGTGAAAGGTCTGGAGAATATGGCGGTTGAGGTAGAACTTCAACCCCAATTCGTTCAATTTATGGATAGTGATTTGTGAAACGTGTGGGCGGGCGTTGTCATGCAAAAGAATCGGACCCTTCTTTTGATAAGTGTTGGCTGCAGCTGACAAATTTTTCGGTACAATTCGTCGATATATCTTCAATTAGGGTTCTGCTGTGATGGTTTGGCCTGGTGATAAAAAGTTATAGTGGATCACACCAGCCGATGACCACCAAGCCGTGACCAGAATCTTTTTTTCGGGAGGGTTCGGCTTTGAAAATTACCTCGGTGGTCCGTCAAAATCCAACCGCTGTCCGGATCGTCTCCTGTTATCATACATGATCCATATTTCATAACAGGTGACAATTCGGTCCAAAAACAGGTCGTTTCTGCTGCGAAAAAACAATGCAGAAGGGACCTCGAGAGTGCCCGATTCCTGCCCGGATCACCCGATTGTGGCACCCACTGTCGAGTTTTTTTCACCTTCCCAATGCGTTTCAGACCATCTGCAACACTGGATTTTCAAACGCCTAGCTTTTCTGCTATCTCTCAAACTGTTTGGGATGGGTGAGCCTCCGAAATTCCCCCAAAATCCTCATCAGATACTGCTTTAGGTCGACCGCTATGAGGTTCATCTTCAAGGCTGAAATCTCCAGAACGAAATTTGTTGAGCCATTGCCGCACAGTGCTTTCTCTAGCACTATTGGGCCCCCACACCTGGTTAATTTGTTGAGCTGTTTCGATTGCGGATTGCCCCAATTTATAGTCGAAGAAAAAAATCGTCCGAAGTGCTCTTTTCACATGCTTGAAAAATCTTGAAAAAAGGGGGTTTATCAAGCAATCATCAGATAGCGCAAGAAATTCTCTACAGGATGTGCTACTGAGAAGCAAGGCAGAATGAGTTTTAATCAGCAGTGAATGTACAAAAAATAGGTGCACAAAACGCTGTAAGAAACTTCCGGACAACCTAATAGATGGGTTGGCAAATCTATGAAAAGCAGAATGCCCCCCGTGGATAAAATTCATGCCACATCTTGTTTGGAATTTTCGAGACTCGACCTTTGCTGAAAACCTGTACGCGAGGATGATATAGTACTCCCCCTCTCGAATGCGAATATGGCATTCGCGCTGACGCCAAAAATTTTTTCACGTATCAGAAAAATGTTTGCGGCGCCCAGATCCATCGCGTGGGCTTCGGGCGTTTTCGCTTTAGGGAGTAGTCACTCTTCTTCAGATGGTCAGACTATCACTCTTTGGCAACGTTCCAAGACGCAAACGCGGCGCCGCGTGAAAAATCTAAAGCAATCGCGACGGGTGGGCCCACCTTTGCTGCTTTGACCAGTTCTTTGTTTGATAAATCTTTCCTCTGGTAGAACCTGTGAACTCTTGTGAATGTTGAGCAAGCTCGTCGAAGTCCCATGGCAAATGGAATTTGTGTGCTATTTCATTGCTTTACAAGAGTTATCAGGTGGTCCAATAACTTTGCTGAAATCGTGGATTTCACAAGATCTGCAGGTGGCTTGGTCTCTCGACACGCCAACGGGAAGTAGCAAAAGTGGAGGATGGTTTCCCCTCTAAGCAGAGCTACACCGAATTGCGGTCAAAAATACACCGAATTTCTAAGAGTAGAAGAGTGAGGGGTAAATGGTGCATTTATTATGACTGAAAAATTATCCGATAGGCAATAATTATATAGGTTTTGACCGTTTGAGTAAATAAGGGGGATCGTCGTGGCGTCATCAGATTGATGTTAGCGTCGCTCCAGGAAACGTATCCCATAAAAAAATGTCAACTGGAAAAAAACCAAGTATTCGGCGCTGATCAGTCCCATTCTATGATGCGCCGATCCTTCTCCTTCCTTTCAGCATAGGACAGTATGAATGCGATTTGGTTTTTACAATTAAGTTGTTTTAGAATGTAATGAGATCGTCCTCGTACGCACTTTCAAGATCAAGGTCACAGCTATGAAAGAATTGCTTGGCAGTTGCTAGGTTCGCTCCAGTACCTACCTAACTATAAGTACGTCTAGTAAGCTGCGCTACTTGTCACTGCACCACATCCTCCTACTGTTTTGCAATTACTCACCTATATTTGCCCGTTGCATAGTGCGTTTCACGGTTTGTGTCCAATTCTCATATCAGATTGTCACTTACTGTTGGCGCTAATATTATGAGCGCAAAGCAGGGATTAACAGATGTGAAATCTTAATAAGCTATAGCGGCGAAGACTCCGATTAAGCGCAGCGAATGTGAACGCTCTGTTCCTTTTGCACCCTGCTTGAACTGGAATCCCCACCAATCTAACCTCTCCCTTCATCTCTTCAAGTCTAATAATGGTTCGATGTAAACTTCGCTTAGTTTTTCGTTATTTCCCAGACAGTTCAGCGTGAAAGTTGTGACATGTTTGGCGCTCCCTAAGGCTAAGTGAATCAAGCAGTTCATTCCAGGATACGTCTTTCGCCGAAAAGCCAGCTGTTCTATTTTTCAAAAGCATTCCTCAAGTAGCGAATATTTGTAGAATTATACTGCAGCAAGAGGCTTCGTTTACTTTATATTGTTTCTCCGAATGTAAATTTCAGACGCAGTGCGACGACAGTCTCTCCATGGAGAACGCCCTTTGTCGGGAATATCTGCAGCTAATTCTGGAGAGTACGATGTTACTTTGAATCGAAGTGACACCGACGGTTTTGGATTCATCATAATCTCATCATTGAACAGAAATGGATCCACGATAGGTAAGTCTTTATTTCTGTCACTTCAGTGTATTTGAAAACGAGAGCCACAATAAGGGTCGCGGGTGAGGATGTTTAGCTAGGCCCCGACATTTCCACCACCTTGAAAGACAGATCCCACCATCAAGAAAAGATGTCTCGGTTGTTAATGTTATCAACCAGCGATCGCTATTTTGTAACCATCAGAACTTACTTTATAACAACAGTTGGCAGTACGACGTAGTCTTGTTATGCGGGTTTTCCGTAAAAAATTGCAAACTGTTGCACTATGCAAGAGCGTTGAAAGCAGCGCCAAAAAAGCTAGTAGGTATTGCGAAGTGTACCCAGCTGTCAGTGATTGCAAGCCACGCGATTACGTTTTTATCTCGCACTTTTGAATGACGAAAGTCGTACAGCTTTTGCGACGACAGTCCTGGTACAGAATGCGCGGGGGCATTCCACATATCACTTGGTCGCGGAAACTGCATCCTACGTGTCCTTGAAGCAGAACCTCTCTCGACCCTGTAGATACCAAATACTATCTGAAAATGCACTACTATGGCAGCTAATAACTTGGTGACCTCATGGTGATGAGGTGTTAGCCTTGCAGCCCGAACTTCCGCTTTTATTACCCCTCTTCCAGCCTCTCAACTTCTATATTTACCAAGTTTTCGACTCCACTCTCCCAAGGGAAAACGTCGACTGTGTAGCTGATGAGGAAGAAGGATGGGGAGTGGTGAGGGATGAGGAGGAAGGAGAGGGGCTACATTACCGGGCTTTATTTCTTTCAAGGAGAACTACTATTTTCCACGAACCCTGCGGATTTATATGATGTCTGTTCAGCAAACCAAATCCGACTTCCCTTTTCAAGCGCTGTTCTGTACAATACCCCCTAGAAGGATCCTCGACCACACGGGTCGTTTCCAAAAAATTTTCGCTCATTGTTCATTCAAAATTACTTTCAGACAACGAGCTCACTAAATTGTGTGATGAGAACAGATCGCTTGCTACTGAATAATCCGAACACACTCCTTGCATAAACATTATCATGGTTTGATTTATTTTCAACACACAAATTTGTGAATCCTTTGTCGAAAAGTAATTTGCAATGAATAATGGATAATGGTTGGCATTGGGCTGGGTTTGAGGAAGGCTCTTCAAGAAGGCGATCCCAATGAAATTTCACGGGGTAACTAATTTGCAATAAGAGGAAGTGCGGTTTTCACCTTCCCAAATCGCCATAACGGGCCAGGCTTGAATAGTAGTACTAGGGATGGTGTACCGTTTGCTAGTCGTTCTAGAGTCCCCCTCACTACATCCGGTCAGTGATTATGTACATCCGTGTTGCAGAACTTAACGTTTTACCCTTACACATTTCCCGATTCAGGTCAAATTCTCGAAAACTCACCTGCAGAAAAATGCGGGCGTTTGAAAGTCGGCGATCGAGTGGTGGCAGTGAATGGGATCGACATCCTGAATTTATCGCATGGGGAAATCGTGAACTTGATCAAAGTGAGCTCTTATCTCGTTTTTCTTTTCAACACCTGTGGGACCATCGCAACTTCAAGAGTCAGCTGAAACCCGGGCCAGAGGCTTAGAGCTTTCATTACAAGCCGTTGAATCATAGGGCTTTGTGATTCCACAAGCCATACGCTTCTGAGATGAGGAGTACATCCAGGGAGCGCCCTATTCCCCATCTGGCGTAGCGTAGGGGCTACAGAGTAGCACTCGACAGTTCAAGCAGTATTTAAGGTTCTCATCGTTTTCAAAATTTGCTCTTTTTTTGGCACGACCATGTATTTCAATAGTTCTCACAGTTAAAGGTACTACAATATTCTAGTGAAGTCGGGAATCTGACAAAAACCGCTCCTGCTTCGCTTTCAGTTTCCTACAAATGAAAGGGACTAACGACTATGAAAAATCCATGAAGGAGGTTACGGTTTTTTTCAGGCATCTGGCCTTACCGTGCGGCTAACTATCGCTCCACCAGTGTCGGATGGTAGTCCACTGGCGTCCAGTACGTTGAACCGTTCGGTTTTACCCAACGCCTACATGCCGTCACCACCGTCCACCTACGTTCCTCCTCCGCCAGTGTTTCAAAACGGCGGTTTCTACGCTACACTCGGACGGGTAAGATTTGCTTACAATGGCTCGAAAACGATCACAATCAGAACACTCTCTACAGTTTTGTTCGCTGCGAAATGAGACGTGTCAAGGGAAATGGGTTTGGCGGGGCGCAATCCCGTCTCTTTTTTTTCTTTCTAGTATCAACCGCAAAAGTTTTAACCGAACCGCTCATGCCGTCGTTCTACACGATAGGTGTCGCTTTTTTACCTGAACAACCGTTAGGGAACGGGCTAGCGCCAAGCCGAATCACCCCCTCCCTTGACATGCCACAGAATCCGCAGCGAATAAGACTGTATTCACTACAGAAGATACTCTTTCTCAAATGCTTAGAGTGCGCTTGTGAAAATGGCCTCAACATACTCCAGTTTGAAATATCACGCACAACTCAATCCGTTTTCAGAACTCCAATTATTCCTCGTTTCCTCCACCTACTATGGCGTCTTCGATGCCGTTCTCCTACACAAAATGGCTCAGCGATAAAAAGCTCTTCCAATTACTCGTCCTTCCCCCGAAACAGCTCGTCCCATCTACACAATGTCACATTTGAACGGGCAGCTGAATGGAATGAGTTTTTAAGAGAAATCCAGGTGTCGCTGAAACCAGAGCAGGTAACATCGAGGCGCTTATGAAATCTTTCAGTACTGCAGAGCCATGTGGGAGCCTTCCAGCTTTTACTGTGCTTCTTAGGTTATTCATTCTCATAATAATGATTTCTGAATGCTAGAACTGTAATTTAGAAACTCTCATCATGTACTAATGTCCCCTTGGGTCTTTTTTGGGATCCTCTTTCCATCTGAGTACCTCTTTTACTGGCTGCTTTTAACGCTTCGCCTACCTGTGAATTCACACCTTTCGCCCCGAGGTCTGCGCAGCTTGACAGACCTTGCACACAGCGCGCAGGACCTCTCACAGCCGTACAGACAAGCTGTTCTACCATCACTTTCTGACCTTGTGTCCTTGGAAAAGACCTGGTGCGCGTAGGGCTAAGCCGGTTTCTAATCGGTCCGTTGGACCACGAAATTCGAGCTCTAACCAAGTAGATACAGATGAAAAAAATTCGAATGAAAATTCGCATCAGTATGAGTGCTGTAGTAAGTGGATTGAACTATGACAGAGAAGGTTTTTTTTGGACACTATTTACCCTTTACTGGCCCAGCCATTCCGAAATCAGGCTAGTTCCTGACCGACTTTTTTTCTCCTGGGCAAAATTTGCTGAAAACTTGAACTTGAAAATTTGAAAACGAAAACTGAAAACTCCAGGGGTAGTTCGACCCGCTGAACACGAATATCACATCCGCTCAACCCCGACACCTCCTAACGCCCGCAAACGGGCACTGGTACCAAAATACCCCAAATCATTGGCGCCTGTGGCGCGGGCGCCAGGAAGTTTCGGGCTGAGCGAATGTGATATTCGTATTCTGGAGGTCAAACTACCCCAGGAGACAACATTTGAGCAAAATCTGCCCACGGAGAAAAAAGTCGGTCAGGAACTGGCCTGATTTCGGATGACTGGGGCAGTAAAGGGTAAATAGTGCCGTTCTTTTCTATACTTTGTATAGCAGCCAAGTTGTGAGAGTCTTCTAATGGCACTGCAAGAATCGGGCGTCTTCGACACCTACAGCGAGTCAGCCGACATGGAGGCCATCGAATCGTTAACACCCTCTGAATCGCCGCTGTTGATACCATCGTCATCGTTCCGCCGGTGAGGTTAGGCCATCGTTGCCCGTCTCCGTTCATTTCACACCCCCTGTCTTTTTCCCTATGCTTTTGTCAAACTTCGTTCTGGTCCTGTTTCGCTCCTCTGTGATAACCTCCCCACCCAAAAGATCCAAAAATCTTTTCAAATGATTTTTTTTGCGTTACGTGGAATAGAAAAATTCAAAAGACAAACTGCACCCCCACCTCGGTAGATTCTGGTCCTCACCTAAGAGGAGGTGAGCGGTTCCGCAGCTGTAGTAGCGTACCATTTTCTCCACTCAAAAAAGCAGAGTAACGAGGTTGAAGGGTAGTGATACCACGGTGACGGTTCTAGGCTTCGCCCGCCTGCTAGCACGGTCAGCCACACCACCAACCATGGCCAACCTACTTCTCTTCAACCTACGCCCTCTCTTTTTTGATTGTTCTCCACCTCTGACTACATGTTCTGTGTGGGACCTGAGTACTGCGCCTTGAAGATAGCGCCAGGAGACGGCAGCCGTGCATCTCTATCCTCTAGCTTCGCTCCTGCATATCCTTGAGCCATGAACATGGTACGACTGCAGCTTTGGCTCTACTCACTTCGCACAAAGATCGTCTTTGGAGGGCGCAGTTTTTCTTTATATGACTATCGGCTGAGCAGATGCGTCGGAGGCTCGCCAACCGCTGGGTAGTCGTTTTGAATTTTGTTTCATTTTTTCCTGTTTTTTGCCGCAGTTCGCGATTCAATAGCCGCGTTATGGTTTCAGTAGCCATCGTCAAGAAAAAAAACTTGAAAAAAGTTTAACTTTTTGCTGGCAAGTTACTGTAGCAGGTTTCTGATGCGTGGTATTACTGAAAAAAAATAGGGTGCACAGCAATATTATGTCGTACCAGTGTTGTCGCCTCACACTGCTCACTTTTACCCCATTATTACTAATCTTTCACTCTTTTTCCCTTCAGCACATTTGTGGCAACGGCTAGATCCAGGGTTGAGCTGACAACAATCGGTGTAGAAAACGACGAATCAGTGGACGCCTGAGACCTAATTGAAAAAACGTTCCACCTGACAGCTTCTCAAGGCGCAAATGAAGTGGGGCAGTAATACCTGTTTATTGATCGTACTCCCTTGATATCTCGTTATTGGCCATAACCCTTTCCACCCCCAGTTGCCACAGATCTCATAGCTAGAACGGATTGCAACTATATCTCTAAAGCTAAAGCTAAAGCTCTATCTGTGAAGCACGGAGAAGCAGGCGGAACGTTCTTGGATAAGAGGGTGCATGAAGGACTCGCTTTTCACGTGGGCTTCTTTCTTTGAAATAACGGAATGCTCCCGCATGTAGCAATGTCGTACAATCCGATGTTTTCCTAACACTCTCTTCCTGAAACAACAACCCTAAATGAATTCATACAGGACAGTCCGATAATTTCTGTGGAATTGGAACGTGGCGTTCGTGGATTTGGTTTCTCTATTCGAGGTGGACAAGAATTTGGTGCCATGCCATTGTTTGTACTTCGAATCGCCGAAGATGGTCCAGCAGCGATCGATGGCCGATTAAGGGTAAGTCTTGATCATGATCGTATTATTTCTGCATAATTCTTTTCTATTGTGCCTACAGAGTCTTGTTCGACGACAACGGTCGTCCTTATTACCACCATCCATTTTGCTCACTCTGAAAAATTTGCCTTGGAAAGATTTCTTGCAGTACACAAAAATGCGCGACGGTATGCTACGAACCATTTTGAAGGGCTTTGCGCGATTTCCTGAGCAATTTAGTATGTCGCTACTTCTGTCCAGCTTAGCGACATCGCACACGAAACTAAGACCTTCTTTGTCCACCGTAGATCCTTGCTGCCACTTGCGATCACGTTCGAAAGCACAATCCACGCCGAAGGAATCTGAGTAGGGCGATCCAGCTCTAAAAGGCAGTTGGCACGAT